AACTAATACAGCATGAAAAATTGGGAATATTTTCTTTGCAATCTGGAGCTGAAATCTACCACTGGGATCTGAGCATATTATTAATTTAGTGGTTGCAACTAATTATGATCTCTAAAATCCAGAAAGAAATATGGCCATCAAATGAGAAACCTGATATAAATAATTCATAACCATTAAGTAAGTGAGAGGCAATATAGTGGGCGTTTCAGGGAATGACAATTTTTTTCTCCTTTTAATGGATCAGGAAACAGAATGAGAGGCTGAACAACTGACCTAAGTACTTTCGTAGCTAGAAAAGGGAAAGAGAGGCTACAGAAAAAAACAAACCTGGATATAAGCCAGCTGAGCAGTACAAAAAAGCAATGACTTCGGGGCCTTACGACTTGTATAAGGGCCCAGATTTGCTAGAACCTTCAGAGTGATTTTGAGTCACGTTACTTGTCTTCTCTCAGCTTCAATCTCTTCATCTATAAAATGAAAATAAAAGTAATATTTACTTTATAAGACTGATAAATGGGTTAAGTGAGATAGCTTACAAAAGTTAAAGGAATTTGCAAGGTATTACAGTAAGTAGACTAGACAGCTTGTATCTTCATCCAATTTCTATTGCTATAACAAAAATAGAAGAGTCTGGGTACATTATAAAGAAATATTTTAGGGGGCTGGAGAGATGGCTCAGTGGTTAAGAGCACTGCCTGCTCTTCCAAAGGTCCTGAGTTCAATTCCCAGCAACCACATAGTGGCTCACAACCATCTGTAATGAGGTCTGGTGCCCTCTTCTGGCCTGCAGGAATACATGTGAACAAATATTGTATGCATAATAAATAAACAAATATTTAAAAAAAAGAAATATTTTAGCTTATCTTCTGGAAGTTCAAGGTTGAGAAGCTGCATCCATACAGGCCCTCTTGATGCTTAGGACCCTGCAGAATTTGGGGTCCATAATTTAAACACTCAGTGATAAGGAACAAGCAAGATCTCTTTTTGTCTACTTAAAGAGCCACTGTTGCAGTGGGAAGAGCCCCCCACCATGACCTCCTTGGATATGAATTGCCTCCTAGAGGTGGTACCTCCAGGTACCACTAGCATATGACTTTGAGAACTAAGTTTCCAACACGTGGATTCTAAAAAGACAAATGGATTCAGGTCGAGAAGCCAAGACACCAGAGTTATTCCAATTTACTGTCATGTTTTTGCTATTGATGCTGTTGCGGCTACTGCATGTCTATTTCAGTTGACTAAATTGCCTGTTTCTGTACTTCTATTGAACACATAAAATGAAGCAACCATATTTAGGGATGACTAAATGCATTCGTGATAATTTTATCAAAACAAAATAGTTTTTCTTTTCAAAATAAAAGATGTTCTACTCAAGAATCAGGCAGATCCAAGTCAAAACCTTCTCCTTCAATTTTCTAGATAAGTGGTGTTGGTGTTGGACCAAATTCTCCAGACTACCCAAACCTGTTTCCCTCATCTATAAAATAACCACAATAATAACTACCTCACATTTTGGCTGTAAATAATAGAGGCAATTATATGTGTATGGTACTTAAGTATAATAGCATTTATATAACATGTGTTATACACCAGTCACTGGCTTGTGCTCTTGAATTGTATTTAACTTATTATGGTCTTCTCAACAACTTCATGAAATAAATACTGTTATTATCCTCATTTTTCTGGCGGGGGGGGGGGAGCTAGGATTGGGGATGCTAAATAATTTGCAGGACTGATAGGTGTTGAACGTGGCCTCAGGAAATCTGAGCTTTTCACTATTTTCAGATTTCTGTTCCACCATCCCTCCATAAATGATGAATATTCAATCCTTGCATTTTCCCTAGGGAGTAATTATTCTTTTGAGATTTCACAATATTTTGTTTTTATTTTAAGAGATCTTGGTTGAAAACTAAAACAATCAAAGGAATGTTCTCACAAAGTTATATTAATGATAAACTTCAGATTTCTCATCTTTCCAGACATGAATCATTTTTTAGTAGCAATTTACTATGATTGTAGAAATATGTAGCTCATGTAAATACAAGTTAAAAACACAATTCACACGATCCACAGGGAAGTGGATACACATTTATCAAAATCCACCGAAGAGGCAGGATATTTTTATGGGATAAAGAATGTTTGGGTATTTATTTTATTTTAAGTCTTTGGTTTTTTGAGACAGGGTTTCTCTGTAGCTTTGGAGACTGTCCTGAACTAGCTCTTGTAGACCAGACTGACCTCAAACTTTCAGAGATCCGTTTACCTCTGCTTCCCGAATGCTGGGATTAAAGTTGTGTACCACTGCCACCTGGCTAAGAATGTTTGGGCATTTTTATCTTTTAAACAAGGATACACAATGACCTTTAGATATTTTTAAATTAAAATGTACCTGTCTTATAAAATATATTAAAAATTTTAAATATCGTCCTAAAAATATTTTTTTCTTGCTCTTAGTATGTGAAGAAATCTTGGCACTCAGGAAAAGTTCTCCACCTTCTCTTAACTTAACTTCTGTTCCCCTCTGCCTTTCTTTATCTAGCGTGCACTGAGCACACACACACTGAGGCCAGATACTGAAAGACACCCAGAGAAAAAGACACAGCCTTCTGTAAGTAGAAAACTGGGTTTTCTAAGATAGGGATTTAATAGCTGGAGACAAAAACAGGTGAAGAAAATGGGAGGAGAAGGCTATTGCAGTGAGCAAGGCTTGCAGGGCAAGGTCTTGAGGGTGGAGACTGGAATATGTTGTAACTGATACAGCTTCCAGGAATGTAGTAAAGGCTACCAGATAAAACACACAGCATTGGCTCTATCGTATACAGTACCCTGGAGTTAAAGAATTCTAATCACAAGAATGGGGAAACAGGAGCCCATCCGTGTCGTTAGAACGTTTCCTAGTTTGGCATAGAAGCCAAATTGAAGAAATTTAAGGGCAGATGAATTCAGGAACCTAAGTGCGGTTGCTAAGATAAGGCTCAAATGAAGCAATTGCTAGTTGGAAAGTGGGAACTGCTGAGGAGGATTCACGGGCCCTGGGTCTGCAATCCTAGGTCTTCTGTATGCAAAAACAAAAACCAAGAAGGTCCCTGTTTTCCCCTATCTTGCATGTACGATTTATGAACAATCTAGAAGCAATTTGTTGAGATTAGTATTTATTGTGCTATTATTAGGTGCCAGGCCCTGTGGTAATGCTTCACATGCATTGCCTAATCCTTACTTAACAAATAAGGAATCTGAGGCACGACAGAAGGAGCACCACCCACACGGTCACCTTAAATCTCACCCTTAGACCCTCAGGTTCCTGGTTTTGCTCCCCGACACAGTCTTCATGTCTAAATCAACCCCATCCACTTCTTAAAAACTGATTTTCCTTCTAATCTCCCCAAATGCTATCCAAACCATGTTCTGTAATGATGCTCTTGGCTCTAAAACAGTCTCTCCCCGACTCAGCTACTTTCTTCTAAAATTTCAGCACTCGGTGTTGGACCTTTTAAATTTGCACACACTAGCTAGCATTGCCCTAGCACACTGAAAAGCTTTTGTCAAACTTTCCCCCCATGTTCATCAGAGCACTGGTCCATTAGACAGCACTTCTTTCTTTTTGGAAACCCTTTCTCCCTGTTGAATGTAGCAAGGATGTTCTTCAGACATCGTCACTCGTATGTCAGCAGCACTTTTGCCAGCTCTGGCTCGTCTTTCCTAAGGACAGGCCTGTTCCTTTTCTTTTCCTTTGTGCCATGTGTGCAATCAGCATTGGTTTTCTGTTATTTATTGTTAGTGTTGTTATTATTATTATTTGTCTATGATTTGTCCTTCAACATGAGCCCTCGTGTGCTCACTGGTGAGTTTCCTATGTGTCAATGCCTGGTCTCACATCGATGCAGATATGGGCAGTACTAACTGAACTTACTGGGTTACTTGGAAAATAAGAGGAGGGGTTGGTGGGCTATGAGGACCCATGTGGGCAGCAAATGGATTGAGGTGGTTGTGTTTCCTTGTGTGCATGCATGGAATTCTCAAGAATAAAGAAAAAAAATTAAATACAGTTCTTCCACTTCCCCTTCTCAGTACGATGCTGAAATATAAATATCTTTCTATACTCTTTTCTTAACTTTTTTCCCCCAAGATCTAGTTTCAAGGCAACTTTGAAACCAGTTGGCTCAACACCAACTCGAATTTACAGCAGCCGCCCCAAAGACTTCCCTGAGGAACCAGGAACATTCCCGAAGGTTTCCTTCTATAAGCAGGCAAAGTACACAAAGAATTCATTCTGCTGCTAATCTCGGGCTGCCCGGAGTGCTCAGATTTCTGTGTTTATGAAAATGAATGCCAATAAATTCAACTGGCAGAATGCACTGTGAAGCCTGCCGCTGTGAAAAGGAGAAAGAGAGAAGCTGAGTCCAGGGACAGGCATCCTGGCACACAGCCAGTGCTCCAGTTCCTTTCCGGCTGGGGGAACCTCCATTCTAGCTACTGAGCCTCACATGCTAGGACAGAGCAATGAGTAAGCTTCCATCAAATCCACAACTACCAGCCACGCCGTCAGTCCCTAGACATTACTGTGGACCATGCCACAAGACACACAATCGGCACCGATCTGAAACAGGAACACCGAGAAGATTCTTAAAACTCTAGCACTGGAATGTGATTCAGGTTTTTGGGGGGTCAGAGCAAAAGTAAACTCTCATGTCCAATATTTGTACAAAATAAAAGCAAACAGTGACCATCGTTCACTTCTACCCTACAACAGTATCCATTTATGAGATGAGAGGTTATGCAAAAACTTTAATCCTCTCTCTCTCTCTCTCTCTCTCTCTCTCTCTCGCTCTCTCGCTCTCTCGCTCTCTCGCTCTCTCGCTCTCTCGCTCTCTCGCTCTCTCGCTCTCGCTCGCTCTCGCTCGCTCTCGCTCTCTCTCGCTCTCTCTCGCTCTCGCTCTCCCTCTCCCTCTCCCTCTCGCTCTCTCTCAACATTGGTCCTAATTTTTTTTTGTTCGTTCCTTTTCTTGCTCAATATTTGTTGAGGGTGGGAGGAGCAATACAATTTCCCCAGCTGTTCCTCTGCTCTCCTATAGGATTAGCCTTTGAGTAGTCAAAGAAACTTTTTTAGAAACTTTTTCTTCCTTCCTTTCTGTGTTTCCTCTGTCAGCTAAACACCATCAAGCAACCAGAGACTTGACAGTCAATCCGGTAGGGGAATAGGCAACAGCTGAAAGCCTAGAAGGCAAAAATCACCTCGGGACGACCCGGAGCTCCAGGGCAGGTGACACATTGAAGGTTTCCTTGGCTCTGGTTTGATAGTTTCATCCCCGCCCACTGGCAAGAGAGCTATCCCAGCGCCGCTGCACAGGCGCGCGGAGGGGGACCATATAAGCGGTAGTGGAGCAGAGAAGCGGAGCTCGCCCACCACCCGCGGAGAAGCGATCCACCATGCACGTGAACGGCAAAGTGGCTCTGGTGACCGGTGCAGCGCAGGGCATAGGCAGGGCCTTCGCTGAGGCTCTGTTGCACCATGGCGCCAAGGTAAGGATTTCTCTATCCACCCGCACGCTGGAGCCCCGAGAGTGCAAAGCCCCAGGCTCGCTAGCAGACCTCCAAGCCGCTGGCAGAGAACCCGAACTTGGATGAGCGCTCGCTGAGGTCTAAGAAGGGAGCGTCTTGTTTATTCATCGCTTGAGCGTCTACGATTCGGTGACTGAACACAAGACCTGCTCCCTCTCTCTTCTTCTTCGTAGGTAGCGTTGGTGGACTGGAATCTCGAGGCAGGTGTAAAGTGTAAAGCTGCCCTGGATGAGCAGTTCGAACCTCAGAAGACGCTGTTCGTGCAGTGCGATGTGGCTGACCAGGAACAACTGAAAGGTAAGACATGGGAAATCAATCCATAGACTCGGGAGGGAACATGCCCTGAGCAAGCAGCGACCTGAAGACAGCCAGGTAAGAACCAACGAGGCTGAGCGCCAGCATCGCTCTCTTGGGAGAAGCTGCGACCTTCTAGCTCCAATGGATAGTTTGGACTGTTATGTTTCTTTCTGACAATCCAATAGCCATAAAAACGAAGGGAAGACAGGACTGCCTAAGAAATCCTTTTATTTTAGTTACTTGGCAGCGCATAATGTAATCAAATGTCTTTTGTGTATTCGAAGACAGTGCTGCTACAGTAATTACTCAGTGTGGGGACAGGCTGAGGAACTGTGGCAAGAGGTCTCAGAAAACTGGACGATACAGAGTCAATGACAAGCATTTGTGGCTTGCCTTTCTCTTAAACACTTCAGAGTACTAGTTCAAGGGTCAGGGTCACAGGCAAACCAAATGCTTTTAGCCAGATATTTTCTCCGCCCCCCTCCCACAAGATGGTTCTTAAAATAGTAACTGTGTGGTGTTAGAATTAAAGAAGAAAAAACCCTCACGCCTTTCCCCAATGTTTTCCTGTTTTTCTGTGATCTCTTAAAATAGACTTGTGAAGTATCAGGAAGAATACCGGCGTCAGCAATATACACTGGCTGTATAGAGGGCTCAAAGAATTTTCATAAAGAAAATTTCCCGGGGCAAAAAAAGAAATAGAAAAAAAAGTGTTTCACAAGGTGTTCTTCAAAGGAATGAAGGAAGTTGGTAGGCACATTTTTAATCCAGAAGTCAGTGAACTTCCACCAGGTTCACTCTAGACTTTCTATTAAAGGGATACTAAGGTCTTAGCTTTCTTAAAGCCTGTGAAGAAAATGGACTGATCTTTAGAAGACTGTGCATCTAAAGATAAGGGAAACGGGTTAAAGAGAATGTCATTAAAATATGAAAGTGGTGTTAGGCAATAGGTAACATGCATAAGTAGAGCAATTTATTAAGAGTATCATAGTAGAGCATGCTTTGCAAGAGGATAGTTTTATTGATAACATATTAATGGCATTTAGGCTTAAAGAAGACCCAGCACTCATACTGCTGGTATAGGGACTGGTACAGATAATTTGTACAGCTTCACACATGGCATTTAATGTCAGTTATTTTGCCAGTAGTTATAATAAGTACCATGACTATGAACCTATTCCTTAAGCATAAGTAGTTGTGAAGAAAACTCAGGCCCGGAAGGCTTGTCAGTCATCAGAAGTCCACCTTGTTTAAGACATACAGACCTGAAATGAAAGGGTGGCAGTGATCCTCACAACATCAGAACATAATGCTGCCCACGACTTTTAAAACTGTTTAGATATGCTGGGTAGTGGTGGCACATGATGCCTTTAATCCCAGCACTCGGGAGGCAGAGGCAGGCGGATCCACGTGAGTTCAAGGCCAATCTAGTCTACAAGAGCTAGTTCCAGGACAGGCTCCAAAGATACAGAGAAACCTTGTCTTGGGGGGGGGGGAGACTGTTTAGATACATTGTAAAATTACAGAGTTGAAAGGGTTCTTGGATACAATCTAGACATGTTATTGTACAAATTAACAGTTGGAAACAGCACAGAAAGTTAGATGAATTACAAAGGGTATCATAACATGTAAATGTCAGAGATGCAAAACTTTTAAGTCATGTGATCCAGGATCTCAGTGATTCATTAAAAAGCAGATGGCACAGGGCACTTTGGTAAAAGCAGAGCAATGGCAACTAGGGAGAAAGAAAAGTTAAAGAAGAATCAGACATGTGTGTTTGATAATTTCCCACAAAGTGGGGCTGTCTCCGAAGTGACGTGATCATGAAACCTAGTACAGAGGGGTGCAGGGCAGATTCATATTCCTTGACCTTTTCTTGAACCAATTTAGGGCTTAAGAAATGGTTTTAAAATTCCACTAAAACGTAAAAAGTTTTGTTTTATTGTTATTACTTCTGTTGTTTTTCAGTTTGGCCCAATGAGTATAAAATGATACCTATGCAGAAACTTTGACAATGTGCTTAGCGATCAACTTCATGTCCGTTGTCTCCCCCAAAATATGTGATGGTTGTCAATAACTCTAAAAACTTATTTTTGTCCAGATAAAATTTGGGATGATCTGCCTATTTAAAGAAATTAAATAGGCCTGGAAATGCATTTCTGCCACGTGAAAGAACAAAGACAAGACGGTTGTTGTCTACAGTCTGAAGGAATAGAAATAGAAAGAAAGTGACCATGGAACTCGTTAAATCTATAGACCTGTATAAAAAATCATGCTTTAAGAAGCATGAGTTTCCCAATACTAAAGGGGTAAAGCCAACTTTGAACTGGCTAAAGAGGGTTGACAAGACCTGGATATGAGGTTAGACAATGCAATGAGCAAGACTCAGGTCTTGTGATCTATGCAAAGTGTCCCTCCCAATGGAACACAGTTTTGTACAAAGCCATAATGAAAAGTAGCGATGCTAATGAGAGGGAAGACTGAAGCAGAAAACATGAAGGTAGCACTAACATGATGAAACCAACAGAACACAAAGTAGGCTTCTACTCACTAGGACGTCAAAGATTCCTCAAATATGGATTGAAATGCATGAGTACTCGAGTTAGTTTAATGCTTCGTATATACAATATAGCTTATTCAGAGGGGTTATTTGAGGGGCTAGGGGCATAGTTCCTATGGTAGATCACTTTTCCATAGTGTGTAGGCTCTAGATTTGACCCTTGCTGCAAACATATATAAAGAATGTGTATTTATCGTCTACACTAAGGACTTACGATTATGTCTTAAGGAGAGAAAGATACTAGCTGCCCAACCTGACCTCAAGAGAGCTCGTAGTTTGGGATATTCACTTCTCTAACATTTACTACATCAATTTATTGATTATAGAACATTAATATGAATCACCTAAGGATATGTTGAAGTCAGATTCTGATTTAGTAGCCATGCAATAACTCTATGTTTCTAATATTTGGGTAACTCTAGCTGACAAAATTGGTCGATAGACCACATTACTGAGAACCAGATCATGAGTGTAATTTTTTCAAAGTGGGCAAGTAGATTTAAACATCCAATCAAACCTAGTGGCGCCAGCCTGTCATTTCAGCTATGAAAGCTAATGCATGAGGGTTTCAATTTTAAGGACAATCTAGGTAATTTCGTGAGACCCTGACTCAAAATCAAAAGTCAAAAGATGATAGGGATATAATTTAGTGTCTAGGCTGTGAGGTCCTAAACTAACCTGTGCTACAACAATAAAATAGAGTAAAATCAATAAGATCCATGTCCTCTCATAGGAAGTTATGTAAAGACAGATATGGAAAATTAAAACATCCATCTCTTTTTTTATTAGATACTTTTAGAAAAGTCGTAGACCATTTTGGAAGATTGGATATTTTGGTCAACAATGCAGGAGTGAACAATGAGAAAAACTGGGAACAGACGCTGCAAATTAATTTGGTAAGCTTTATTGGGCTCATTTATTCACTGCAATTATCTAATACCTCTTATTTATACATAATAATAATGTTATTATTATATTCATAATAACAACACTTATGACCTTCTTTATAGAAAAGTATAAGTTAGCAAAATCGAACAAATAATATTTTCATAAATATGAAGCGATTTGATATTTGTTATTAAGGAAGCATTTTTTTAAATATTAGAGGCAAAAAAGTATATCTCATTAATGACCTGAAATGAATGAATAAGCAAAACTGAAATTTCAGTACATATAAAGTTTTATTAAGATATAACCCCGAAGTCATTGCCCTTTATTTCTGTGTCTAGTTTTTTGCAATAGTGGCAAATTGAATGTTGTGACAAAAACCTTATGGCTTGCAAAATGCTAAAAATATTTACGTCTGGTCCTTCACAAGTTGATATTGCTAAACCCTGACTCAAACTTAGTTATTTGAAAAACAAACCTTAAGTTCTGGAAATAGATCAGAAAACAAGGTTAAAGAGACAATTCAGCTTTCTCATTAGTAAGGCTTTCGGCATGTAATTCAGTAATTCAGGCTGTGTGCATGAATGTGGGAGTGTGTGTGTGTGTGTGTGTGTGTGTGTTTGAAATGCATGCTCTTGTTTGTGATATGAATATTTGAAGATGAGTTATATCTGAAGCAAATTATGGGTAAAATTTTAAAATGAGGTTTTCAATTGACCTGATGTTGTACAAGTGGGTAGATTATGACATTCTATCCTCAACATTTGAGGTTCAATAAAACCCAAAGCTTTCCCCGGCATTGCAAGAAAACAAGAGCAAAAACAAAACATAAAAAGTGTGTAGCTAAAACAAATGTCAGATGGATTTTATACAGGGCCACCATGCCCTGGCTCAAGTTATTACAAGTTTGCAAAGCAGCCAAATGTCAAGAACAGCACTGACTTCATGTATGAGAATATAGACGACTGTTTCATGAGTTTCTTTCTAGGGGATGATAAGCTTTAAAAGAGGAACTAGATGGGGCTGGAGAGATGGCTCGGCTGTTAAGAGCAGGTTGTTGTTTTGTGTTGTTTTCCTAAGGACAGTTCATATATATCAAACAGATATTAAACCATTGCCATGTACCTCCATCCCCAATGCATCGTCCTCAGAGATCCCACACAGCAAATTTTCCACCAATCTCATAAAAACTCTCTACTGGATAATTTTACCAGATGTATGTTTTTAGATGTATAATTCATGCCAGCACAAAGTAAGTTCTTTGAAGGCAGAAAGTTACTCTTTGTGTTCTTACTGAGACGTACCAAGAGTCTTGTGCAAATTATAACATAGTAGTGGTGCGTGCATCTCTGTTTTAGTATAGTCTTTGGTGACTTGCCACACCATCTCATGTGTCCTTGCACTTTCATTACTAACCATGATTACCCCCCTTCTTATCCTTTACCCTGCCGATCTCAGATCTCATCGGTCTTCCCACACAGGAAAAGTGTCGTTCTATTGTCCTGAACGCCATTTTTGAGCTTCTCCCTTTATCTGAAAACAATGGCAAGGTCATTCGCAACCCCTCAGAGCTCACCAGGAATACTTTAAATCGAATGAGTGATTGCAAAATCACAAATGATGAATCGGGCAATAGGTCAATGATAGGAAATAGATCCATGATAACAGATCAATAGAGAAGGAGGATACACTGAGGATGAGGTATATGGCAATAGGATAGTATCTGTTTAGCATGTATGAACTCTGAACTCAGTCCTGGGGGGGGGGGGAACAAAACAAAACAAAACAAAAACGTGCTCTTAACAGATGAAGCCTCTCTCCAGTCCCATATAGTTCCTGTTTTTAACCCTAGGAAGAAACTCATGAAACAACCCTGGATATTACACACAGGAAGTCAGTGCTGTACTTGACATTTGGCTACTTTACAAATTTGTAATAACTTTGGTAGGTAGGTATGTGGATTTGATGTGAACACTGGCAAAACAATACTAAAATGTGATTCTTTTAACATTTTGAAACTTTAATAAACATAAATAATTCATCTCCATTCAGATAAGAAATGCAATCTAATGTTCATATATAATTAACAGATATTGAATCTTTTAGTATATACAAATAAAAAGCAAAACATAAAGCTGTTGTCAATTTTCTTTCTAAAAATACTAGTTGACTACTGATTTTTCTCTGGGGAAAATGGGGTGCATATTTAGGATTAGTCAAACCTAAAGTTTAGTTCTGAATCTAACAATTTATGGACTCTTTCTTTATATCTCTGATCTTGAGTTGTGAAAGAAGCTAAACTTCCTACCTCTAAGGACATTTAAGCTTAAATAGAACACCATTTGTGTGAAGAATGAGCTCAGTGTTAAGACAGAGATTCAAAAAAGTATATTCCTCTCTAGGTATCAGAATATATATTTGTCCACGATCTCCATTTTATATGAAGTGGATTCTTCTGTCTTATTGTGCCTCTAATAAGGAGATGAATTGAGCAAATAGGCAGAAGTGTTACTGATTTAAAATAAATTTATTATGGAGTCATCAATGAGAGCTTAACAAAAAGACAAAAGCATGCTGTTTAAGTTAAGCCTACATAAAGGTCAGCCATAAGACAGACAAAAGACACAGTGGGGAGAGTAATATCAGAAAAAAAGAGTGAAAAATCCAAAAGTATTACACAAAGCATACAAGACCCTGTCCAGCATAAAAAAAAAAAAAGAAATAGATTTAAAAAGGAAAGTTACTCCTATCTGGGTCAGGACTCAGAAATTTGGGCAGATCCAAACAGAACCTCATAGTTCCTAGTAGGTGCTGTACTTGGGGTAAAAATTCTGGGAGGGAAAAATACATTGTCTCATTAACTAGTGAATTACCCCGGTAACCCCCTCTCTTTAGTCTACCTTAATAAAGCATTGTTAATGTGTTTCCTTTTCTTAGCTCCAAAGGATATTCAGGAAAATGAGATAACTATGTGGTGCCACTGATGCCTTGTAACAATGAATGTTCTAGTTGAAGTATATTAGGAAGAGTTTGCTAAATTATAAGTATCTCCATCTAAATAAGAGACATAATATTTAGCTGTAAAACAAGAAACCACTAAAATCTTAGATATGAAATGTGAAACAGTGAAGGAGATTTCAAAAAATTCATATTCTTTATTAATGTTCTTCAGGAACTGGTTTGAAGAAAATATCAAGGACTCTAAAAAGCAAAATCACATGATTTAGATGCCAAAATACTCGCATTACAATGTAGTGTAAGAACCATAACCTAGGGAATACTGCCGAGTGGGGGGAAATGAGATAAGGGAAATGGAGAAATGATAGATTGGGCATTTTAGTGGTGAAAAATACAGGTGTATCTCTCTCCCTGAGTGGGCATGTATGTACACCGTGTATGTGTGCTATAGAAATATGCAGTACCTGATAAGAAGGGAAACCAACAATTAGGATCTTATCACCTGTCTAGATGTCTTTGTTACTAGAGAATTATTCCCAGTAGAGAAGAACTGAAGAGTGGATGTTAGTTACAGAACACAGCAATTAGCAAAAAAAATTCTAACACTTGGAATAAGTTTGAATTACAATTTTAGTATTATATACAAAGTTGACTATTCACAACCAAAAGTATTGAATTGAACATGCTCATTTGATCATTTTTCAACAGTTAAAGAATTTCTCTTTTCTCATTTTGAAGTTAGAGAATTTTTTTCTTGAAGTCAAGAACAGAATTTTAACTACATTCACAATGTATCTTAAATAATACCACAGACCCAAATTATAGTCTGCTTCATTCTGAAATGTAATATAATTTTATTTAGATGCTTGATTCAATGATCTAATATATAAGATATATAAGCATTGCTCAAAACCATGAAATATTTCATTCTATGATTTTTTTGTAAAAGTTTATTGTGGGGGGTAGTGTGTGAAATCTGGAACAAGGAAAATATTGTTATAGAAAAAATGAAAATATCATTTGTATAAAACAATACATTAGTTAACACTTGAAGCTTCTTCCATCAATACTTTCACTTAAAGAGTTATTCAGTTCTTTAACTCAGATGGTTGAGAAAAATATCCCTGTCTGCAAAAAATACAAAAGTTAATCTTACTTTTTAGAACTTTAAAACTAGGAGCTGGAGAAATAGTTCAACAGATAGGAGCATTGACTGCTCTGGCAGAGGGTATTAGTTTGGTTCCCAGCACCCACAGGGTAACTCCAGTAACTTCAGTCCCAAAAATCTAATACTTTCCCTTCACCTTCAAAAACAGCAGAGCCACACAGGTGCACATCCATACTTGTAGACAGACATTCATACACAGAAAACAAAATAAATATATTTTAAAAATATTTTAAAATCAAAGCTTAAACTTTTGTACATTTCATATCTTGCATACTTTGGAAACACAGATGCAGAATGTCAACAAAACTTTAAATACCAGAATAAAAGCATACAGTGGTGTATATAAACTAGAACCTTAATCAGGCCTGCTGAAGAATTGGGCAGAAACTAACAGAATCTAACTTATTTCAGTCATGAATATAATTGTTTCCTTTTTATATAATCCAGTAAGGTTTTCTTTATTCGTTTAGAGGGCAATTGCGATAAATTATTTATGCTCTCACTTAACTGGAAAAAAATGCTTAAACGAATAGAATTTTGTCTTATTTTTGTTTCCTTGTTATTCTAGAAGTCCTACTAGGAAAAGGAGTTCCCATGAACACTTGCTAAGAAAGTTCTTCTTAAAATGGAAAGAAAGCAAACATGAATATATGAACTCTTTGCTGCAGACTCATGGCCTGTTGACCTTTTTCTATAAAGCATAGATAAAGTGAGAATTGAACTGTCCAAAGTGAATCTTCATTTTTGAAACGCTTAAGCTGAAACAGAGAAGAGTTTAGAGAAATAAGAGGAGAAACGTACTACCGGTTTTCTCTCAAGTTAATTTACAGAGTAGTAATTTCTTAAAGGCTAGCAGAAAAGTAGAAAGCGTTTCCCCCCGGAGGAGGTGAGCAGGGACACAGTAGACGATCAGAATGAAGCCATCAGCAGTGTGGAGTAACTAACGTTAAGCAGACAATATATCAAAAGACCGTGTCCAAGTAACAGAAAATACGCACTCAAACTAGAGCTAGAAAAGAGGTGTGTGATCTCCCCAAACTGAAGGGCTCGGAATTATCTGATAGTGTAGACCAGTGCTCCCATCATGGACTAGACACTTTCATCTCACCAACCTGCCGTCTTTCATTCAGATGTCATCTTTACGACGCTAGTGTGCTTTACAGTGACTGAACACTTACCAAGAAACATTAAGGGGATAATAGAGCCATTTCTTAAGAACAACCAGATCCCACTTTTCACCTCCACCTCCATTTTCCCATCCCCAGGTCTCACTTCCCGTAACTGGTAGGCTGCATGCCCAGAAGTAGATATGCCCAACTAAGTTTGGTGAAATTATGTAGAAATATGATAACCTACACTAATGTTAGGAAGGCAAAAAATGCAAATCAGGATCAATTAAAACTTCAAAGCGTGCAAAAACGCTCACTGATGATACTTGCAGATCTCCCTATGTACCTGAGTGAGCACTGTGTTTTGTATGCAAACATATGATGAAGGCTAATAGCTGTGACCACTTTTGCCATCTTTAGGTTTCTGTTATCGGTGGAACCTACCTTGGTTTGGATTACATGAGTAAGCAAAATGGAGGTGAAGGTGGCGTCATCATCAATATGTCTTCATTAGCAGGTAAGAACGATTCTTATTTAAACAGGAAAGTTTCCTTACCGGTAATGTGGACCACAAAAGTCAATCTGTGAAGTTTGTGAATCTCAAGACAAGATTGTATTGAATCAATCTTTGTTTGCACTCTTAATGATTTTTTAGATTTTTCTGCACACAATACAGAAAAATTGAACAATATATCTGCTACTTCTTTTCAAAGTTATCTTTACTGTGATGTTGCTTTAGTGCGTGTGTTTGTGTGTACTTATATGTTTTCAGTTATTGTTTTTCAAAGATTATTTTATTACTTCCAAATAGGAAAACATGTAAAAAAAAAACTTTTGACAAAATGAAAACTAGTAATGTGGTATAAGCAATTTCTCATTCCCTGTGAATTTAGTAAGAATGTGTAATTTAAAACTTGCCATTATCTCTACTAGTTGGTGTATGCTAAGCTGTTAAACAACATCCGAACACACCCTAGCTTCAAGGTATAAATTTTGACAGCATCCGTATATTATCAAGGGCAAGATTCTTAGTACTGGGTACCGATTCTATATACAGCAATTTGGCAAAAACCTGGCTGACAAAAGACCTTCTGCTGTATCACAGAGCTTCTAGACTTGCTCAGCAGTAGGCAGACTCCTTTCTGTCCAGTAAAAAGAAGGCAGGCATGTGGAGGTCTCATTACTGCTCTTCCACATCCACCCTGCCCAAGCCTTGGCAGACCTCACTGTGCTCAAAGTCCAGTGTAGAATTTGACCTCACGGTTCATCTAGCTACTTGAAATATCTGGAGAATATATTCCAAGTGTACATGAAAAGAAAATGTTTTCAGCGCACAGCTGTTCTTTTGCCACACTGAAGACTGAAGGGTTGAGGCTACACAAGCAATCCAAAACTGGCTTACATTCAGAATCACGTGGTCTAGTATCAGCTAGCTACTGTATTCTTCAATGATAGCTACAAATGTGTGGAACAACTCAGTTACATAACTATACTTTTAAAAACCCAGTCAGGAGTCCTCATTGTCCACTATGTTCAGCGAGACCGGTTTTAACCCAGGCTTTTTCAGACCCAGGCCAGCTGGCCTTGGTGAGTTCCCGATAGGACATCCCCATTGTCTCAGTGTGTGGGTGCACCCCTTGCGGTCCTGAGTTCCTTGTTCGTGCTCTCTCTCCTGGTGCTCCTGATTTGTACCTTGAGATTTCAGTCCGGTGCTCCAATGTGGGTCTCTGTCTCTGTCTCCTTTCATCGCCTGATGCCCAAGAACAATGGCAATGGGTTTTTGAACCTACTGCACGTATTGGTTTTGTGGGAGCCTAGGCAGTTTGGATGCTCACCTTACTAGACCTGGATGGAGGTGGGTGGTCCTTGGACTTCCCACAGGGCAGGGAACCCTGATTGCTCTTTGGGCAGA